ATCATTAGAGATTCACACTTCACTGTTATCACCAAACTTCCTACAGAGACACCAGTAATGATGAGCCTCATTTCTTTCATGTATTCCTTAAACCTATTGCGCTCTTCAGGGGACTGTGGCATTGTGGTCTGGAGATAATTTCCAGCAATTAACAGAAAGATTCCCTTTTCAAAGGCCTCGAAATGTTCTCTCTGTGAATAAGACACACTTCCAGATACAGCTGATGTAGCAGATGCCCTAGGCGGCTGAACCTCTTGGTATCTAACGGATTCTGTCGCCAACATACCAGTCTGCATATTCTGTTCTTCAGGTTTCGAGTCCTCCACCCCAACCGTAATATTCAATTCACCACCTGTTAAATTGTAACAGTCAAATTCAGTCCGAATATAACAAGGTTTTTTTCACCTCTTACCTATTTAACCATTACAATGTAAGAGCATTATATTGAGGCAACAGCAACAGAGAGCTTGTTACCAATGAATAGCTATAGATCACAACAAACAGTATATACATTGCTTCAGTTTCAGTTTCTTTAATTTGTATCCTTATCTCACTCCATGGTAGAATTAAAATTATGATTGATGTAAAAGATTACAGTATCAAACATGGAAATATCTAAACAAACTTCTAGCTAAGGTGAAACATAGGCATGTCTAGCATGCAAGAGTTGTTTTTTTTGGCTGGGTGGATCGAGGTGGGACACTTTGTGTACCTAATATTTTCATTTATGTAACCAAAAAAGAGCATTATTTTATAACTTTTAAGGAACAAAAATATTGCATTAAATAAAAATCCACTGAAATTTAACTGAAGTCACACAGGTATTTTACAGTCTATTGTCTAAATACTTCTAAGCCAAAGTAAAATACATCTGTGCCATGCTTACAGTTGTCTCCCTTGCAGCTGTTGTTTGGTCTCATCACACAACACCCTCTATTCCCCGTTTAAGAGAGAACATGTAGAGTGACGAGACCAAATAACAGTTGCAAAAGAGACCACACTTATTGCTGTTCCTCTAACAGAGCAAAAATCAAACTTATTTGTCAACCGTTAGTGGCTCCAAAAATAGAATTCCACCAAACTTTACTACGAAAAGCAAACTGATACTCTGTTGTATCTCCAACAAAACCTAACCAAAGATATATTTTAATCTCGAATAAGTGAAGATGCAACGACCATGA